TTAGCAGATGTAAGAAATAATAAATTTATTAGGGTAGAGATTAGTTAAATAGAGACTGAAAAGCATATATACAAAGAATTCATGAAACAAGTAGCTAGTTCCTTCAAAAAATAAATAAGATGGATAAACTTTTAGTGACCAAAGGGAGAGAAGAGTCTCAATAAAATTAAATATGAAAAAGAAAATATCACAACAAATACCCAAGAAACCTACAAAGATCATAAGGAAATACTTTGAAAATCTATACTCAAATAAATTGGAAAATATAGAAGAAATGAATAAATTTCTAGATGCAGTTGACCTAACAAAATTGAACCAAGAGGATATACACAATGTAAACAGATCTATAACAAGCAATGTGATTGAAGCAGCAATAAAGAGACTCTTATAAAAGAGAAGCCCAGGACCAGATGGATTCACTGCATTTCTACCAGACCTATAAAGAAAAACTAACACCAGTACTCTTTAAACTCTTCCTTGAAGTTGAAAAAGAAGGAATGCTACCAAATTCATGGTTCATTCCAAAAATGGAGATATAACAAAGAGAATTACAGGCCAATTTTTTGATGAACACCTACGCAAACGTTCTAAATAAAATTCTTGCAAACTGGATGCAAAAACACATTAAAAAATCATTCAATACAACCAACATACCTCAATCAATAAGGACAAGGTTAAAGATAAGGAACACATAAACAGAATTAAGAACAGCAATTGCATGGTCATCTCAATTGAAGTTAAAGCTTTCAACAAAGTTTAACATCCTTTAGTGATAAAAGTTCTGAAGAAACTAAGAATGGAAGCAATGTACCTCAACATATAGCCAATATGATATTAACAGAACAAAACTGAAATAATTTCCCCTAAAGTTAGGAACAAACAAGGTGTCAATGATCACTTTTTGTCAAGACAGTATTAAAATTCTTAGTCAGGGAAACATAGGAGGAAAAAGAAATTAAAATGATTCATTATTTTAGGATTATTTTGATATTAAGATTGTAGTGGTTATTGGTGGTATACAATTTTATTTGTTTATTGGAGATGACTTTAACTTTTAGTCAGTCAGATTTTCAGTTGATTTTCTTTTTCCTTCCAAATATGTGGTCACAGAATCCATTAATAGTGACAGTTTGGTCTTCTCTCCTAATATTATTTAAGGCTCTTACTATGTTTTTCATATTCCATTGACTATGTGAATGTACTATTGTGAAATAAGACTTTTTTTGGCAAGGTTCTACTTTTTTGGCATTTCCACTTGTATGGATAAGGTAGGCTTTCTTCTGGTTGTAGCTTCTATTTTCTTGGAAAGGGCATTGTGTTTCGTTGATTCTTTTCTGAGTATTTATTAAAATGTTCTTTTAAAAATGTGCTCATTTTTATTAACTTGTTAATCTCAAAAAATCATCAATGTTAAATAAATATGCTATGAGAAAAACTAGATGAATGGAAAAAAAAAAAAACAGCAATGAGCTGGGTGCTGGTGGCTCATGCCTGTAATTCTAGCTACTGAGGAGGCTGAGTTCTGAGGATCATGGTTCAAAGCTAGCCCGGGCAGAAAAGTCTGTGAGACTCTTATCTCCAATAAACCACTAGAAAACCAGAAGTGGCACTGTGGCTCAAGTGGTAGAGTGCTCGCCTTGAGCTGAAGAGCTGAGGGAGAGCACCCAGGCCCAGAGTTCAAGCCCCATGACTGACCAAAAACAAACAAAAACCCCCTCAAAATACCCCAAAAACCCAGCAATGGATCCACATAGTTCTAGGAAAGTGTCCCTTGGTGAAAATGTATTATTTCTAAATAAATAACTTGACTTCAATGCATCTTCATATACAAGTGGGACAAGCTGTTGGTCTTTATATTAAGGTATTTAGTATGTGTTGAGAAATTTATTAACAGTATTTTTTATTATGAAATATTTTTTTAAGTTTAAATTTTATTGTAAAGGTGATGTACAGAGAGATCAAAGTTACATAAGTCAGGTAATGAGTACATTTTTTTTGAACAGTGTTACCCCCTCATTTTCTCCCACTTTCCCCCCTCCCAACCTTCCTCCCCCCACAAGCTGTAAACTTTATTTCTAACATAGTGTCTAGTGAGTATCACTGCTGAATTGGTTCACCCTTTGTACCACCATTTCTGATTCCTCATTACCTCCCCAAATAAGATAAATTTACAGAAATAAAAAAAAAAATGACAAAAGGGAATAAACCCAAGGGGGAAAAATCTGTGAACAGTACAATAAAAAGAGTTAACTAGTCATCACACAAATTTGATGCTTTGTTAATTTTCAGTCTAAATTGTTTAAGTAAACAAACCTTTCCAATAATACTTTCTTTCCTCCTATGTGGACAGTATTTCTAAATTTGGTGTTTAACGTTCTTATGCTTTTATACGTTAATGATATATTAGTAAAGCTAATATTTAAAAGTAATTATTTTCAGGCTTTCACATTTAGTATCTCATCAGTGAAGTATCTATTTGTATCTATTTAGTATCTATTTGTGAAGAATGAAGTCTTTGAGTCAGGAAGTCTTGGCTTTAAGTTTCCAAACTATGGTGTAGATTTTTGTATTTCTATTTTCATTTATGTTGGGTTTTGCTTATGCTTTGTCCCTAGTGCATTCTTTTATGACTCCTAAGTTGCTTTGCTCTCTTCTCATAATTAAATGATTCTCTTTTACCCTGGAAATATCCAATGTTTTGAGTCTATTGTATTTGAAATTGATATAGTTACTTTATTGCTATATTGTACCTTTGATGACAATGATTCCTGCCCCCACTTTGTTGCTAAAAAGTGTTCCATATTGACTTTTTCTTCCTGTGCCTGTCCTGGGGCTTGAGCTCAGGGCCTGGACGCTTTTCCTGAGCTTTTGTGTTCAAGGTTAGTGCTCTAGCACTTGAGCCATAGCTCCACTTTCAAAAGCTCACTTTTGGCAGTCAATTAATGTTAAGAGTCTCATGGACTTTCTAGTCTGGGCTGGCTTTGAACAGTAATTCTCAGATCTCAGCCTCCTAAGCAGGTAGGATTATAGATGTGAACCACTGTCACCTGACCAGCTTGAAATTAGGGCCCCATACTTGTTAGGTGGCACACTTTTTTGCTCAGTCATACTTTAAACTCTATTTTACACTGGTTATTTTTAGGGTATGTCTTACTTTCCATGTAAGGAAGGTGCTGGAATCTGTCTACTTAATGTTTTCTGTCATAGCTAGGATCACAGGAGTGTGTCACTATACCCATTTTCCCTCTCTAAATAGACATATTTATTTTTTGGCCTGGGCTTTCCTAGAGCCACATTTCTCCTTTTCTCAGTCTCCCAAGTAGGTAGGATTACATGTGTGAGCCACTGGTGTCTGGCTCCCTTTTGACTTTTGAAAGATACTTTCATTAGATGAAGGTTTTAGTGGGAGTGATTATTTTCTTTCAGCAATGGTACTTTGGATAAGCTGTTTCTTTGTCTTTTTGCTTAGTTCTGACAAGAAATCTGGGATATTAATGTGTGGCAATTAGTTTTTTGATAATTTTGTCATGTTTTAAAGTTTTGGATTTAATGTGTTCTTTTCCTTTGAATCTTTATTCTAAGATATTTTCTTTACTCCTAGATTTCTTTTCTTTGATTACAAACGACCTGGTACAGTGTTCTTAATGTGATTCTCCTTGGAGTTCATTGAGTTTATTACATCAGAGGGTTTATAGCTGTTATGCAATTTGGAAAAGTTTTGGCAATTATTTTGTGTGTAACATTTTTTTTCTGATCTCACCTAACCCTTTCCTGGAACTCCAATTAAATATATATTGTTATATATATTTATATATATAACATTAATAACATATAATACATATATATGTATACATTAATAACATATATATATATATATATGTATTGTTAATACAACTAGTGAGATTTTTTTTTTTGGTCCGGTCGTGGGGCCTGAACTCTGGGCCTGGGCACTGTCCCTCAGCTCTTCAGCTCAAGGCTAGCGCTCTACCACTTGAGCCACAGTGCCACTTCCGGCTTTTTTCTTTTTGCTTATGTGGTGCTGAGGAATCCAACCCAGGGCCTCAGGCATTAAAAGCAAGCGATCTACCACTGAGCCACCTTCCCAGCCCCAGTGAGATTTTTGTTTAAGGTAATGTAGGTTTTATCTAGATGTTTCATTTGATTCTTTTGCATGTGTGTGTGTCCGCGCGCGCGCGTGTGTGTTTGTATGCATGCATGCTCCAAATGGGGCTTGAATTTAGGTCCTCCCACTCTTGCTTAGCTTTTTTACTCGAAGCTAGTGCTCTACTACTTGGGCCATGCCTCCAGTCTAGAACTTTGTTGGTTAATTGGAGATAAGAGTCTCTAAGATTTGTCTGCCTAGTTTGCTAAGCCTTTTGAGTAGCTAAGATTACAGGTATAAGCTACCGATGACTAGCTTGAATGCCTAAAACTGAGATGAAGGAAATAACTTTTCTGTTGATGTCTGATATGAGAATTTATAGTTTGGACAGACCAGTGTCACCTTCTTTCTGGTTTATTGTTAATTATAATATGTGATTAGATTACCTTGTAATCTCAACTAAATAGTATGTACCATTGCAATTGGCATTAGTAATGGTAGAAAATACATCAAAAGTTGCATCCAGTAAAATTTAAAGTTATTTATATTTCCCTTTGCTCTTAATTGGATTAAATTTTAGTTTTCATTTAGCTTTCTTGTGCAGTATTTTATACTTTTTGCTTTAATGGGTGTTTTATGATAGCTGATATATTACCGGATTATCATATTTTAAATCTAATAATGTATCTATAGAGATCAACAGATTAAAAGTCCATGAAATAAGAAAAAAAAGCAAAATATTTTAATGTTTTTTTTTTTGCATTACTCACTGGATGCTATTGAGTGGTTTTTGTTTCTCATTTACTGGCTTAATTAACATTTTTCTATGTTGAATAATACACTTCAATGATTTTTAAATATTGGCATTATTTAATTGCTTGTTTCTCTCCCCTTCAAGGAACTTGCTTTAATGGGCCAAGTCACCTCACCTTTAATGGGCCTCAAATCACCTCAGACAGAAGTAGAATTGCCTCAGCAGGAAGCAAAACCAGAGTCAGAGACAAATGATGAAGAAACAGAAAAGGTGAAGTCTTTGATTTAAAAAAAGTCCTCCTTGCCAATATGAAAGTAATAATCTATCTTCTGTTGCTTGAAAGTTCCCTGAGCTCTACCACTTGAGCCACAGTGCTACTTCCAGTTTTCTGGTGGTTTATTGAAGATGAGAGTTTCATGGACTTTCCTTCCTGGGCAGGCTTTGAACTGTGATCCTCAGATCTCAGCCTCCTGAGTAGCTAGGATTGTAGGCATGAGCCAGCTGCACCTGGCTTTTAGGAGCATATTTAACTGTCAGCAAGTTCTCATCCAAGGCTACATGGGGAGTCTTGGAAAAAGGTTTTTAATAGCTTACTTGATATAGAGACAAGAATGTCTACAAGGTAGCTGGAGAATTAATTAAAAGTTATTAGTCAATAAGAAAGTGTTACTGTAGTCTGCCTTGAGCTAGAAGAAATGTTGCAAATATGACAAGGGGAAACTTTTTTTCTATGAAATATGGAAAATGGGTGACAGAGGTTTGCTTCAGAACTGAAGCTTCCATTTTACCCATCCCTGGCAAAGTAAGTGAGGAATCCAGAGTAAGCCAGGACATACTCTCTAAATTGGATATATCTCTTTGAGTACAGAAATATACAGTTAAGTGAAACAAATGTGATAATGAGTCGCTCTATACATTTTATAAAATGCTAATAGTGAGTAGCAAACCCCTTTGGCTTTTGAAAATATGACTCCCCATCTGAAAACTGAGCAGACATTGGCTCTGTAGGGTACCATGTCATATTCAGAAAGTGTGTGGACCTTTGTTTTCACAAAGTTAGAGTTGCCACAGTTGCTAAAAGTGCTGGAGTTTGAGATACTTCTGGCTGAGATTGTGTCCTTTTCAACTTTGTTTTCTTGTCACCAGCTTCAGAATCCAGCATATAGTGGAACTAGTAGCCAGGTGGCAATGGTATGTGGATAAATCAACTCTGAAGCCTACAGCATGTGCTGTGAGTTTATATTAAGAATAAGCATCTCATAGTAATACCACTTAGACCAAAGTCTCTGGTCATTAATCCTTTAGTAGGCACACTGAAAAGACATGATCAGTTAGCCTAAGGAAAATAGAAGTCACTCATAGAATCAAACTGACTTAATACCATTCATTACATTTATATAATATATAAGGGAATATATTGTTTTTAAATAAACTATGAAAAAGGTCAACCATCAGGTACCTAGTTTAGGTATCATTTTGACTGTTTAAAATAAAAATTTAAACAAAAGTTTTTTTTTGTAATTTTTGGGAAACATCCTCTCAATTTTGCCATTCATAAGCAACCATCAATTATTTCCAGCCACTGACTATTAACAAGGAAAGTAACCACTTTTTTTTTCGAGGCAAATAGCTGTTGATATCCAGTCCTGGCATTAAGACATACCATAGTATCTTTCATACCAGACATTTTCTTTCTTTTTTTAAAAAATAAGTTTTTTATTGTGAAAATACTGTACAGAGGGGTTACACTCACATGAGCAAGGTAATGAGTACATTTCTTTTTTTTTTTATTGTGAAAATACCATACAGAGGGGTTACAATTACATGGGCAAGGTAATGAGTGCATTTCCTATCAAGCATTGTTGCCTCCTCCTTTGTTTCCCCTTCCCATCCCTTCCCATCTTTCCCCCACCCCCCACTCCCTCCTACCCCGCCTTCTTGGCCAAAGTTGTAAAGTTCGTTTTTCAACATAATGTCTTGTAGATCTCATTGTTGCAATGGGTCCACCTGTATCCCTATTTAAACAATTTTTTTTTTCCCTTCCCCTCCACAATTTATACCAACATCAAATACAGTGAAAACAGGGCTTATACAGTGGGGGAGAGACATACAAAGCAACAAAGAAATAATCTTATAAATATGTTAGACACAATAGCAAGAAAGAAAAAAACATTTGAATCATTAACTTGGGGTTCATTTCACTTAATGACATTGCCCCATTTGTTAGGAAATGGAAAGACTTGGAAAAAATTATATTAAGTGAAGTAAGCCAAGCCCAAAGAAACATAGTCCCATGGTTTCCCTTATTTGCAATAACTAGTATATGTCTGAGACAAGCAGAAAAGTTCAGATAAGTTGATGTTAAGTGAAATGAGTACATTTCTTATCAAGCATTGTTGCCTCTCACAGACTTTTCTACCCAGGCTGGCTTTGACCCTCAGAACTCAGCCTCCTGAATAGCTAATGAGAGCCACCAGCACTTGGCCTTCAAACTGAAGTTTTAAGGGACTCAAACTTGTTCATTCTAAGATGACTTTTCACATTTAAAAATTACTTTAAGGTTGGCTAACATGTCTTATGCTGGTAATTTTAGCTGGAGGTAGAGATTAGGAGGATCAAAGTTCGAGGACAGGTGGGTGAAAAATTTGAGATTTTATCTCAACAAACAAGCTAGGTGTTGTTGTAGGGCCTATAATCTCAACTGGGTTGGGAATATAGATGGGAGAATCTTGATCTGAGGCCAGACAAGACAAAATAAAATGAGAATATCTAAAAAACTAATTTAAAAAGAGCAAAAAAGATTGGGTCATCATGAACTAAATAGTGGATTGCTTATCTAGCAAGCACAAGATCCTGAGTTCAAGCTCCAATACCATCAAAAAGTATTTTTAAAGACCCCAAGATTTTTTGTAGATATGTGTTATCTCAACCAATATTTATCTATTAAAAAGGGAAAGTTTACCGCATCATTCATCTAAAATAATAACATAAAATGACTTTTAAAGATTAAGATATATAAAAATTTGGAATGAGGGCTGGGAAGATGGCTCAGTGGCAGAGTGCTTGCCTTGCATGTATGAGGCCCTGGATTCAATTCCTCAGCCCTACATAGGCAGAGAAAGATAGAAGTGGCGCTGTGGCTCAAGTGGTAGACCACTAGCCTTGAGCTGAAGAGCTGAGGGACAGTGCCCAGGCCCAGAGTTCAGGCCCCACGACTGACCAAAAAAAAAATGGAATGACATTAATTTTTGTATGTATGATTTTATAGACACTAGATTCTCATATCTGCTTTTGCATTCAATCTGTAGCAATATATTCTTTGGGTCAAATTATATTTAAAATGTCACTTCATATAGGTGAAAGGGAATCATATTTTTTAGAGTCTTTTAATTCTTTCTCAATGATCAGCATTCCACAAGTGGGAGTTTCTTAAAGATTAGTTGTGAGGAGTGAGGGAGGTGGGGGAGGGAAGGGATAGTAGGAGAAAAACAAAGAAGGGGGTAACAATGTTCAACAAGAAATGTACTCAATTAACTAGCCCCTCTGTACAGCACTTTTACAATAAAATAAAATAATATTAAAAAAAGATTAGTTGTAATTTGTTATCAGAAACAGAAACATATATACATACATATATACACAGAGACACATATGCATATATACACATATATACATTTATATATACATGCATACATGTATATACATGTATTACAAATATACACACACATATATATAAAATATATGATTATTGTATATCATGACATCCATCTTGGTTTGTGAGCTATTTTTATTTACCCTAATTGATTTTTTAATCTCATGAGCTAATCATTGTTTCAGTATTTATCAGTGAAATTTACGGTTGTGAATTTCAACAATGAAAAGGTGTAAAACAGGCTGGGAAGGTGGCTCAGTGGTAGAGCGCTTGCCTTGCATGCCAGAGGCCCTGGGTTCGATTCCTCAGCACCACATAAGCAAAAAGAAAAAAGCCGGAAGTGGCGCTGTGGCTCAAGTGGTAGAGCGCTAGCCTTGAGCTGAAGAGCTGAGGGACAGCGCCCAGGCCCAGAGTTCAGCCCCCACGACCCGACCCCCCTCCCCCCCCCAAAAAAAGAAAGAAAAGGTGTAAAACATCACAATATCATGATGAAAGCATTTTTGACATTGCAGACCTCCCAAAAGAGTCTGAAGGGGACCTACAGGAATCTATAGATTACATTGAGAGCTAAAAGGGAAATAGGTAAAAGAGCACATCTTTGAATCAGGTTGTGGGCATGTAAACAAACCTTTCCTGTTTATACAAAGTATGACTTTGAATAAGTAATGTAACTTCTCTAAGCCTCAGTTTCCTCTTTCCTGTGATGGGTTCCATGGAGTTCTTACTCTGGAGCTGTGCTGAATGTTACAATTCAGTGAGATAATGCTCATATCTCTTGGATATTATCGTGATGATGATGATTGCTTAGGCAGAGCTCAGTCGTCATGCTTCACTTTATTAATTTAGACATCTTAGCCCAGCTACTTTTTCTTGCACAATGAAGAAGTTGCAGTGTTTGGCACTGTATGCAATTTTTAAGTTATTTCTTTTTTTAAACTTTATTTTATTGTAAAGATGCTGTACAGAGTGGCTACAGTTACATGGGTAAGGCAATGAGCACATTTCTTGTAGATAATTGTTACCCCTTCCCTTGGTGTTGTCCCACTATCCCTTCCCTCCCCCACCTTCCCCACTCCTCCCCATCCAAAGTTGTTTTAAAGGTGATGAACAGCGGTGTGGGGGTAGGGGTTGGTGGTGGAGGAGGAGGGGGTCACAGTTGCATAAGTCAGGTAATGAGTACATTTCTTTTTTTGTTTTGTTCTGAGGACATTTCTTTTTTAGACACCCTTCCCCTCATTTTATTTTACTTATTAGCAAATGAGTTTATCAGAGACAAAAATGATATATTGCATCTTAGTCATCCTATATAATTCAGACTTTTAGGTAAACCAGACTAATCTTTTCATTTACCACATTGAGGCAATGAATTCTAACTTGTAGTGATTTGTAATTCCAAATAGTCTTGATTTGAAATGAATACCCAAACATTGCCATAAAAATACTTTCCTTAGGAGTTGTTGAGATCCTATTACAAGTCACTAAGACACCTTCATTCATTCATTCATTAATTTTTTGTGATTTGAACTCAAGGCTTTTGACTTGTGAGGCAGAGGTTCTACTGTCTGAGCCATACTTCCAGCGCTTCTGTGTTCTGGTTATTTTTGAAACAGACTTTAACTTTTTGTCCAGAAAATGCTCTTCTTATTTACACTTCCTGCAGTAGCTGGGATGCCAGGTGCATGCCACTATGCTTGGCTTTCTCTATTGACAAGGGATTGCTCCATCCCCAACTGCCCCGAGCTGATGTAGAACTAAGGTTCCTCCTATCTCTGCTTACTGAGAAGCTGGGAAGCGAGAGGTACTAGGCTAGTGGGACGTTTTCCTTAGCCTAGTAGGCATAGACATTTCAAGAGAAATTTTTACCTGGGTGTGGGATAGATCTGTGGTGACTACTGCCCTTCTGTAGCCTGTTCAGCATTTCCCTGAGAACTGAAGTCAGATTTCTGGGAAGAACAGCTCCTTAGCTGAAATCCCATTTATCAGGATTGAGCAGGTCTCCACTAGTTAGTGTGCCCAAGACTGACAAAGTGCCAACTTGGATAATGAAATAAACTGTCCAGTGGTGCTTTGTGTGGACTATATACTAGCTTCACTCTGTGAGTGTTTGCTGGTGTCTGGGTAAGACCCGAGTCTTGTTCTCTTCTTACAGGTTTTGTGCATTTACAACTGTAGACTAGGTATATTTTTCTGAGGCAGAGGAAAATAATTCCCGAACCTTAACGTTTAAAAGTCAATCTGCATTGATCAAAATCTGTATCAGAAATTTATCACCCTGGTTCAGTTTCAAATCTGCATTGTTTTGTTTTGATTTTGTTGAAACAGACAGACCTTGTGTAACTGAAGGCTTTGGAAGGATTAATAAGAAGAACATGGTTGTTTGTTTACTTTTTCCAGCACGGTATGGGTGATGAGCTTACCGATGCGGTGTCAAGTATTTTCCAGATTGAACAGGAAGATATTTTAGATTGGACAGCCATGGACACAGAAAGCACCGAATTTAAATCTCAGGCAGTATTGAAAACTCATCCAGAGGAAGAATCAGGGAGACCATTAGAAGAGATACAGCCTACAGTTGATTTAAAAACAAGCAAGAAAACATCTTTAAAGGTAACAATGACAACAACGACAATGCACATATTCAATCCTCAAACCTAATTTATGTTGGAGAAAATGGTCCAGGCAAAGTGGAAGGTACGGAGACTGAGTTCACTGTCAAAAGGAACCTGGGAAGTACAAATTTTCCAGTTAGTAAAAGAGCATATATTTGTTGAGAGTGCCTATTACTAATCCTAATTAATTCCAACTGGAAATTTAGATTTTTTTTTTTTTGAGAAAAGAAGGGATCTTGGTTCTTGTTAGAACCTGACATTTCAAAGGAATCAGGAACTACATACAGTACAGGGATCACACTTGGAATAATGTCTTTGCCCCACTTAACATTTATCCTGATGAGTCTCTTCCTCTTGCTTAAAGGTTTCCCAGATTCATTTCATTTATGTATCATTTTTATAATTTTTTTTTACCATACTTACCCATTGCTCTATTATTATCTGTTATTACTTCGAGTCAGTGATATTTTGGCTTAAATATACAAACTTATTTTATTTTTAAAAATATTTATTTATTTATTTAGTTGGTCATGGGGCTTGAACTCAGAGCCTGGGTGCTGTTGGAGCCACAGCCCAACTTGTAGTTTCCTGCTGGTTAATTGAGGATAAGAGTCTCTTGGACTTTCCTGTCAGGACTGGTATAGAAGCATGACCTTCACCTCTCAGTCTCTTGAGTAGGTAGGATTACAGGTGTGAGCCACCGCCCCGGCCATAAACTTATTTTAAAATTAAGTATTAGTGGTATTTTGAAAAGGCTCTTTTCCCAGCATATCATCTTAGTTATCACCAGAGACCATCCTCTGTATGACTAACTTCTGGGTGAGAGCTTCCTGAGCACCCCTTTCCTGGATCCCTGTGGTTTTGTTCCTGATGTTCTTTATCCAGGTCAACTGGACATTATTAGTTATACAACTTTTTTTTTTTTTTTTTTTGGTCCATCATGGGACCTGAACTCTGGGCCTGGGTGCTGTCCCTCAGCTCTTCAGCTCAAGGCTAGCGCTCTATCACTTGAGCCACAGCGCCACTTCCGGCTTTTTTTTTCCTGCTTATGTGGTGCTGAGGAATCGAACCCAGGGCCTCATGCATGCAAGGCAAGTACTTTACCACTGAGCCACCTTCCCAGCCCTGGAATTCTGGGAATTCTGGAGTCTAAAACCTGGGCTTTGTCTGTGACCTATCACTTCCCTAGCCTTTCACATATAATCAGTCTCCAGAAGCTTAGATTATTCTCAAATATTACTAATCTTTCAGTTTCTCTCTTCCCTGGTCTGTGTCCTAGTGACCTTATTCTGGATTAGTGTCTTTTGGTTTTTCTTCAGTTTTCAAGCTGTACACTCTTAGGTTCATCCTGTATAACACTAGCTTACCGAGCTTCTGGGGAAAAGTAGGTAATAAGGGAGACTTACAAGTAAGGATTTACCAGAGAAAACTCACCATTGCTCTCAATGAGAAATGTCTTATTCTATGATCGTGACCAACTCCCATCAGCAGTCCTGCTGTCTGTCTGAAGCAGGACTTTGCGTATGAAGTGAAGCCAGCCAAGGCTAAGTGAACTTCCCCAGGGGATTCCTGTGTTTAGACTGATGCTCTCTTGGCATCTAGAGGTGATAGCATCTTGATGAAAAGTGTTAGGCTATGGGGCACAGAGGTAGGATCTTCATGTATTCTGCGTAAACATTGTGATTTTGGGAATAAATGAAAGCATAACTGGCAAATTGGTAAGCTACTCAGTATGTCAAAGGATGAAATAGATATTCTTCAACACCATGACCTGTCAGGAATTTAAATCTATCCTAGAAAAGTCCAGTAATGCTATTTGGCTTATGATAACTTCTATTAAATATTTGAAAAGAGACTGTGCAAAATTACTTGTTCCTAGTTAAAAGACACAGTCCTTTCCTAAGGTAACTAGAATTGAGTGCTTACCATCCAGTGACTTTGATAAATGTTTTATGTATTTTGTCATATTTTTCCTAATAACATCCTTATTATTACCCCATTTTGTAATTGAAAATAATAGCTAAATCATGAGAAGATATCTAACTTGTAGAGGCAAGTCTGACAGAGGTATTCTAAGACTGAAATTTCAGTTTAGCCATGTTGCCATACTGCCCATTCATAATAGTAAATAACAAATGTCTAGTTAAGTATAAGAACAGGCTTGAGTTAAGTATGATGGTGTATACCTGCGCGGGCTATAAAGGAATCCTAGGAGAGAGAGAGGGGGGGGGGAGAGGAGAGAGGGGAGAAGAGAAAGAAGAAAGAGCTTAGAAGAGAGAGAGAGAGGAGAAAAGAGAGAGAGGGGAGATGGAAGAGGAGGGGGGGAGAGAGGTTGTGGAGATATGTTAGAGAGGATGTCAGAAATGCCATGAAAACACTAAAGTATTTCTATGATTCATTCCAACAAGTTGTTACCAAGAATCTTATGTTCACTTGTGTGAACATCTCAAGAGCAAGTATTACCCATGAACTTTAACCATGTGTGTGGGCAATAAGATTAGCCCCAGCATCTCTGGTACAGGAGTGACCAGGACAGGTGTTGCGGTGGGGGCGAATAAGAGTTTTGGATGTAGTCAATACATAGATCTAACAATGAGGTATTATTATAAAGGGGTAATGAAGGCCTTTAGCTGCTTAGATACATGCTGGAAGGCCTCCTTCAGCAAAAAGTAGAGAACGTGGACAATCCTATTCTGTTAGTCATTTCTTTCTATTCTTAGAAGCTCATTAGTACTCTGGTCTAAGTCACTGCCAATAATAGTGACTTCATGAAGAAACAAATGGCCAGTAAAAAGATTGATGAGAGTTTTATAAAGGAAAATGTCTGTAAAAAGAGGTTTGATCATGTGATCTGGAATTCTAAGTGGAAGAAGACAATTTATAAGTGTAGGAAGCTCCAAATCCCCCAAATTCTTACCAAACAACTATGAGTGACTGACTTGATCGAGTCTTACAAAGATGCAAATGATGAAAGAAAAATACATAGCCAGAAATAAACACAAATGTTGACTGTGCCTGTAAAATTTTATACCAAGAAGGCTGAGATAAGAAGTTGGTTGAGGCCTGTGAATAATGTGAAGAATACAAAATGGTGATTTTCATGTTATTTTTGCAATGAAGTGTGTGTGTGTGGGGGGGGGGGGTGGAGAATGACAGCCTATCATTAGGGATGAAGACTGCAATGACAGCAAATGACAAAGCAGCCTTAATTTATTTTTGGAAAAAGGTTGTGGTCTGAAGTGAACAGAATATATGACAGAAAAGGAAGCTGAAAACACACACTTCACTTGTTAAATCTGGCAAGGAAAGTGATCTATAGTTTAGAAAGAAGAGAAGAAAAGTTGATTTAAAAAAGCCCTTCAATCCCAAGATTTATGAAAGATGTTGAGTTAACATAGAACCAATAGGCTTGGAGAGGTAATTTTCTCCTGCCAGGTTCAGCAGTAGCTTTGCTTCTCAAAGTGCTAGAAGGTGGGAGGCCAACCTGTCATTGAAAATCTGACTTTCCTTTTTTTAGGGTAAAGGTTTTGATTTCTGCAACTGATGTGCGTTCTTTGACAAAACTACATGATGATGAAAGAACTTATTAAATGATTTGTGCTTGAATTCTTATCCAAAATGGGAAGGGTAATCACTTGGAGCAAACATTCCCTAAGAGCAAACCATGGAAGACTAACCTTGTTTCTTCTGGAATTTCTAGACCCAATATCAGAAGAGTGTCACATGTGTGTTCGACATAAGAGACTCCTGGGAAGGTCACAGGCTCTGGAGCCACATTTCCAGGGACAGAATTATGTCTCTCTCCTTTAAAAGTGGTGTGACCTTAGATTACTGCTTGTATGTGTATGTTGTTTTCATGAGAAGAATGACAGTGCCAATGTCTTCATGCTGTTGTGAGAAGTGTATGTTCCTAGAACACAGAAAACTCAATAGATATTAGTGATTGCTATTATCCTCTGAACTAAAGCAATCTATTTTTTCCTTATCTGGTATTTTTAATTTAAAAAAATTTTTATTGTGAAGGTGAGATACTGAGAGGTTACAGTTACACAAGTCAGGTAATGAGTACATTTCTTTTCTTTTCTTTTTTTTTTTGGTGGTCATGGGTCTTGAACTCTGGGCCTGGGCACTGTCCCTCAGCTCTTCAGCTCAAGGCAGGCGCTCTACCACTTGAGCTACAGCGCCACTTCCGGTTTTCTGGTGGTTTATTGGAGATATGAGTTTCACGGACTTTCCTGCGCGGGCTGGCTTTGAACCGTGATCCTCTGATCTCAGCCTCCTGAGTAGCTAGGATTACAGGCGTGAGCCACCAAGCGCCCGGCATGAGTACATTCCTTTTGAACAATGTCACCTCTTTTCTTGTTTTTTCCCAGGAGCAATCTATTTATGAAAGCCTCCTCAAAGTTATTAGATGGGGTAGCAGTTAGGTGAATTGCTGGATGGATTTCTAATTAGCATATGAGACAGAATGCAAATGATAGAAATGATGAAATAGTGCACTTGCCAAGCACTATCTCATATATAATTGGTGCATGACAGTACCTAGTAGAATGCCATAGGACTGTGTCCTATTTCCACTTACGTTTCCATAACTTGGATTAAAATATGGAGGAACTACTTACTGGATTTTTAGGTAACACCCAAACTAAGACCAAGAAAATTTGTTTGGTCAAACCTCTGAAGAACCTTAACTGGGATAAATACATGCAAGGTTCTGTCTTTGAGTCCATAAATGAAATAGGATGATAGCGCTCAACAGTAGCAGTGGTGAAAGACTTCAGGGTTTTAATCAGTAATGTCATTTTTGCTAGGAATACAACTGGTGGATAGATGGCATGAGAATCATCTTTTTACTGGATGATCTAATCATATCACACCTCAAATACTGTGTTCAGATCTGAATGTCCAACATCAGGAAAAACTGACAAGTTAGAGAATATTTGAAAGAGAACATTGAAGATGATAAAGCTTGGTACTTCAAAACAATGCCATATCAAGTAGAGTTGAAGGGATAGGGATGTTTTCTCTGGGGGGGGGGAGGGGGGGAGAGGGGGAAGGAAGCCCAGAATGTATTGAATCAATACATTCAAGTATTGATTTGACTATAGAATAGAGTTAGGTTGTGCCTGTATGGTTTCTAAGGTTTGAATTAGGACTGGTGGGAGGAAGTGATTAGGTTCAGTAATAAAGACACAAACAATGCTAGCAACTGAAAGAGCTTCAAAGAGAACATGGCAAACTGTGTGTACTGACCTTTCCATACTAGACAGTGTTTAAGCCAGTTGATGACTGGAGGTGGAGGTACTATAGAGGAAATTCAGAAATTAACTGGCGGGTAAGATAGAATTCTGTGTGCATCTGGAACTTTCATCATTCCTTATTATAGTGGGCTATTGTGATAGATCATTCATCTTTTTTTTTTTTTTTTTTAAAGCAAAACAAGGCCAAATCTTGCATCTTATTTATAAGAGCTGTTTATCTGGCTCCTTTCCTACTGTTTAACCATTTCTCTCTACCCCGAACCCCTGTCAGGGAGGATCTCCCTGCTTTCTTCCTGAAAGTTAGTTTAAAAAATACAGAGCAACCCAAGGAGGAAATTTTTTTTTACAAGAATGATTACCATAACTTGTAGGAATGATTACCATAAATTGTAGGAAATCTAGGAAAACAATACTCCCAATACTTGTAATTATTGAAGGTTCTATTATTTATGAGACAGAGTATATTTAGTTTTAGCCAAGCTGTAGGAAAAGAAAGCAGTACAACTGAAATACAAATTAATAATTTTACTCAAAATAGTAATAGAAAGCACCAAAGTTTCTTTTGGCTTGTGTTTATAATCAAAGACTGCCCAACTTTAAGAAACTAATGACAAATTCTATTAAAAATATCTTGGTGTAGTGTAGGTAGAAAAAAAAGGAAAGACAGTTACAAAAGAAAAAAAAATAAGGCAGAGTAGCTGGAATGTAGCTCAGTGGTAGAGTTTGTTTAGCAGGTATGAGACTCTTGGTTTAATCCCTAGCACTTGGGGAAAACAAGCAAGGAAAAGAGGTATTGTTTTTGGAGGCTAAAATATTCACAGTAATAAATGAAAATTATTGTAAACAAAATATTTACTAATATTTTTTATTTCCAAGAAGTTTTATACATAAAATTTAGGAATGGACTTCGAGGGAAATAGCTTACTTTTGGATTTATATTATTGTAAAGTGAACATAGAAACAAAGAACTTAAGAGTATGAGTGAATGATCTCCAAGCATTATAACTTCCCTTAACAGCTTATTTTCTGTTTTGTTAAGGTAGACTCATCAGAATTCTTGCAAATCAAAGGAGAAGAAATTAAATCAATACGGAAAGTGAAATTCGGAATTCCAACATCAAGAAAGGCTTTAAAATCCAGATGGCGCCATTACAGACGAACTAAAAAGTAACTTTATTAAATTGACAAATTTTACCATTTGAAGGGCAGTCATTCAGTAGCTTGATTCATGAAAATGCATATTTTAGAAAAGGAAAATCCAGTGTGTTAGTAATTCCTATATGATACCTGAGTTTAAATTTCTAGAGACAAAGTTGGTAACAGGTTTTAGAGTTAGGATATAGGCTTTACTGCAAGCTTTCCTCTATTACAGTTTTTAAAAAATGTTTTTATTGTAAAAATACAGTTACATGAGTAAGGTAATGAGTACATTTCCTATCCAGCATTGTTATTCCCTCTTTTGTTTTTTCCCTACCATCACTTCCCTCCCCCCTCCCCTGCCAAGTTGTAAAGTTCATTTTCTACATAGTGTCTTGTACATCTCATTGTTACAATGGGCCAACCTGTATCCTTGTTTCAGCATTTTGTTATTTCCCTTCCCCTACAAATTAGAAAAATGTATATACAAGATGTAGGGTACCAACATCAAATGCAGTGAAAACAGGGATTATACCGAGGGGGAAGAACATATAAGAGAAACAAAAAAAAATCACACAGTACATTTTAGATACATTAAAAACAATAGCAAGAAAGAAAAAAAACAAGTTGTGTCCCTATCTTGGGGTTTATTTCATGTAACGTCATCTTATATGGTCATATGTATATAGCTTTTGACCTTTTCTGCTTGTCCTCGACTTATACTAGTTATTGCAAATTAGGGAAACCATGGGACCTGTGTTTCATTGGGCATGGCTTACTTCATTCAATAGATTTTTTTTTTCCAAGTCTTTCCATTTCCTAACAAATGGGGCGATGTCATTCTTTCCAATGGAGGAATAGAATTCCATTATATATACCAGTTAATGCTTTTACCAATATACATTATCAATGTAACAATGGGACTCAAAATAGCTTTTTGTGGGACTATAGGAAATGAAAAGTTAACATTTTAGATTCCATATTTTGGTCACTTCAGTAGTTGATTTGGATTAACTGCTTTCTCGTATTGGTTCATTTTGTTATGATAAAGTACAAGACAACCCAACACTAAATGTTTCTAGGCTACTCATGCTAGTAATTTAGATAGCTTTCTCTCTCTCTCCTCTTGTGTTTTAATGGGGTTTCTTATTACACAAGAATGCACAATTTTGGACAACAGTGTATAAAGATATCATAGGATGGTTTACCTTTTACCATTCACCTTGTTGAAACTCTAGTTTTCTCCTTGTTTCACTAGTAGGGCTTTATGGGTTGGTTTATTCTAGATTATTCTTCATTTAAGTGTTTATGGGGCTTTAAAGAAGCTTTAATTATTAGCTTTTGTTGTTGCTTGGGGCACTGAAAGGCATGTTGAACATGGAAGACAGCTGTTTTTATGGCCAGCCTAAACTTTGTAAATGGATGTTACTCACTATTTAGTGGCTGAGAATAGACTCATGGGAAAAGAATTCCAAAGTCGATGAAACAGAGGAATTGGCATTTAAGTGACCCTGTACATGCCACTGCTTATCTGCATTGCTTTGAGCTCATTTAGTTAGCAAGATTATGTATTAAAACAAACAGTCACAGCAGACAACAAGTACTTTACTTTCAATAAATAGTTACTGTCAGATTATCAATGAAGCAGAAACTTCTTGATTTTAACCTCCCCTAAAACTCCTTGCATTTAGTGCATTAAGCAAAGTAGTATGGCCACACACAGAGCAAGGGTCTTTTCTTTTTTATGTCAGCATTTCAAAGAATGACAAATAGTCCTGCTTAAGGAGATTGTGCTGTAAAAACACATAACCTTTCTTGAGCATGCCCAAAATATTTCTAGATCTAATTGATATATGTAATGTTATTTTAATTCATTGAAACTGAAATTAGAAATTTCCATTACAGAAAAAAGAAGGAAATGCAAAGGAAGAAAAACTCTGATGTTTGAATAAGAAAAGAGAATTTTGGGAAAATGTTCCTGAAAATCTTTATTTCATAGCTCCTTTTTCCTTCAATCAATTGTTAACTTTTCTCTGGTGATTTTCTCTTGAATAGTATTCTTGGGAATCAAACTCTTGGTGGCAGGATATGGTTATTTAGCTCAATAACCAAGGGAGATTCTTTTACTAATTTATGTTGTTAGACTATAATGGGATCATAGGAATTCAGACTTGTTGCAATGCTTTTTTAAAGAAAAGAAAAGTCAGTAATGTAATCTCAAGCACATTCCACTAGCCAGGACCTGTCTGGGACAGAATGATGATATAAATGAGCTTGACATGGGGGCTCACCTTGTTGTTTTCTCTCTTTCTTTCTCCCTCCCTCCTTTCCTTCCTTCTTCTATTTCTCTCTCTCTTTCGTCTAAGCTTTTTTTTTTTTTTTTTTTTTTTTAGGAACTCAGAAGCCAGGTGCCGATTAGAATCTTAGCTCACACATATAATCCTAGCTACTCAGGAGGCTGAGAACTGAGGATCACAGTTTGAAGCCAGCCTGGCAGAAAAGTCCTTGAGACTCTTCCCTCCAATAAACTACTCAGAAAAAGCTGCAAGTGGCGCTGTGGCTCCAGTAGTACAGTGCTAGCTTGAGCAAAAGAAGGTCAAGGACAGTGCCCAGGCTTTGAGCTCAAGTCCCAGAACCTGCACACACACACACACACACACACACACACACACACACACACACACACACACACACACTAGTGCTTGAAATGCTATTCTAGATACACCCTTCCCTCCCTCGGTTAGGCCTCTGCCTTATGCACTTGTACTCGCTTTAGATTTACTTCTTTTCTTCCCATTTATGTTTGCAAACTTCATATTGGGTCCTCTGCTATTTTGGAAAAGTCAGAGATCACTTGATGTATGTGGTCAAATCATGTACACAGTGTGCCCAGCACTAGGTTAGGAGCCGTGCAGTGCAATTAGTGATAACAATGTATAGGGAATGTACTCGTTACCTTGCTCATGTAACTGTAACTCCTCTGTACAGTATTTTTACAATAAAAATGTATTAAAAATAAAGCATTACTGGAGAGATGACCTCAACAGATCAAGAATGATATACTGTGTTTAAAAATCAATTCTTCTAAAGGCAAGAGCTAGGAATTTTCCAATTTTTCTAAAGACTTTCAAAGAAACCAGTATTACAGATTTAAGGCATTAGAACTGAGGTTTGGAGTCAGGCACTGCCAATTCCAAACTCTGTAGTTTTGATAATACTTCCTATCTGAAGTAGCCCAGATACATGGACAGACCAACGACCCATTAGACAAAGGGTAAAAAGGAGTACATGAAAGTAGGAAAATGCCTGAAAAGAGACAATGGTTAAAATAAGGGAGGATAGATGCAAAAATGACAAAAGTGATTTGGCTACTGCAGAGTACAGACATAGGGATGGAGTAGTACTGGGTAAAGCCACTCCCACTCAGGAGTCCTCAGTAGGCATTTGTAGGAAAGAAATTTGGTTTATGGACAGCAACATTGCACTTAGATCTCAATAGCTTCACACTGATTTTTTTTTCACCTATCCCAAACAATCCTGTTCCAAAGTAAAAACAGTAATGCCTCCAATACAGATTCATTTTGGGCGTCAGAAAGAATGTAGGTAAAGAAACAACTACAGAAGGCTAGCACATAGCAGGCACTCAATAAGTATTTGCCGATTGGATGGCAAAAGCAGATCATCATGACTTCTTGTGTGTGTGTTTGTGTGTGTGTGTTTGCGTGTGTGTGTGCGCTAGTGCACGCTCACTCATCCTGGGGCTTGAACTTAGGACCTGGGCACTGTACCTAGGTCTTCTGATCAAGGCTAATGCTCTACCACTTGAACCACAGCTCCACTTTCAATTTTTCTTTTTCTTTTCTTTCTTTATTTTTGTGCTTAATTGAAGATAAAAGGCTCATAGACTTCCATTCCCAGGCTGGCTTCGAACTGTGATCATCAGATCTCAGCCTCCTGAATAGCTAGGATTATAGGCATGAGTCAACTTGCTTCCTACTTTAAAAGGCAGGGGAGACACAAGTTTCAGAGAAGTGGATGGAACCTATCATGTCAATGTAGCAGGACATGGTATGCCATTGGCAGATGGTAGATATATATTCAGGGACATTACTGTTTGAGCAGAGGAATCCACCATGGCTGGACATGGTGTTCTTGGACTGAACCATAGAATTCAAGACAGAAGAGGCTTGCAGTGGGATAGTAGTGAGTTTGCTTTAGAAAGCCATGTGGGTTGAGATTTTCAGCAGGCAGTTGGATGACTAGTTCTGTATCTGTCCTCCTACTTGTAGGTGTCTTACCTGGAGCTTGAATTGAACAGTCACTGTAAGTGTACTTCATATCTAGATTCTACCCAGTAATGAATAAAGCTCACTTGCTTTCTTTTCCTCCAGAATGCTACCGGGCTTCATCCCTCCTCACATTCATGATCTTTGCAAGACCATCCCGGCCCAGGAGCTGCCAGTTGAGCTGTACCTGGCTTCTCGTGTGCTCTACACTTCTGACAAGATGAGTCACAGGAATATGCTCCGCACACTTGGGCCATCTTTCTTAGGTGATCAGTTTACAGATGAGCAAAGAGAGAGGTAAGAGAATCTTAAAATATTAAATATTAATCTAAATAAAACTTTTCAATATTAAATTTTAACAGTATTTTAAAAGGTCAGTTTTTCTTGCCCTTAAAGCATTGTAATGACTGACCTATACTTGTCATGGGATGCTTTGAACCCATTTCCTCAAACATGATTTTTAGTAAAAATTGGAGCGTTCTGTTAAATTCTGTTAAAAATAATGGCCCGATTTCCTGGTGTTCAGTAATAACATTAAGCTTTTATTTGAATTCCTAAAAGGCAGAACTCAAACCAATTTTTATTCAGACAAAATATATTTTGAAGATTCAAGGGTCAGTTATAATTTTATGCATCTGAAGTCCAACTTTTTTTTGTATCAGTGTTTTCCCTCATAGCTCTACTACTTGAGCCATACCTCTAGTTCAGTTTTATGCTTGTTAAGGAGATATGAGTCTCTTGAATTTGTCTGCTCATGCTGGATTTGAATCATGATCCTTAGATCTCAGCCTCTTGAGTTACTAGCATTCTAGGTGTGAGACTGGCACTGGCAAAGTCTTATTTTAATTCATCAAGTCATTGTTTGATAACTTTTTGATAAACATGGGAACCATTTTTTGGAAATTTCAAAACTATTTCAGGATGTCTCATAAAAAATAGTAGTTCAGGAAAATAGTCTTTAGGATTTCCCCTAAAAGCTTAAAATTGGGAGTAAAAAGTACAAGATTCTACATGTTTTTGTAGTGCTGTGAATTTTGAACCCAGGGCCTCATGCATACTAGACAAGTGTTCTACAAATGAACTACAACCCTAGCCCCTGAGACTATACAGTTCTGAGTAATTTCTATTAGCACTTTGCAAGCTAAGCATAATTTTGAGGACTTACACCTTCTATTGATCATGTAAAGTAGGGAAAATGCTGGTTTCTTTCCAATTCAAATTTTTTTTTCTTCAAATAGATCTCACTTTCTTTTTCCAAGAGAGAGTCAATAAATGGTCTATTTGATAATGATAATTCTTAGCAATTTGTTCTTAAGTACCAAATAAGAAGTTAATTTAAGTACTGAATATTTAATTTGCTAGCATCCCTCTCACGAGGATTACCTTGCTAAACATAGCTTAACCTTTTCAAAATATATCTGTCTGCTGAGCTTACAAATTTGGAGAAATGTATAATTTTCCTACACTAATAAGGAGTTCTAAAGAAAGGTAATTGTGAGCACAAAATTAAAACCTTTTCATTTGATAGCTTTTGCTTCATTCTGTACAATGAATAGTTAACTCCAGATTATACTACTACTTGTGGTTACATAGTTTTAGTGTTTTCCTGATTCTGTGTATAGTAATTGGTTAACTGTGACAAAAACTAAGAACTGTAAGGATATATGTATATATACATTTATATATATTTATTTGGTAGTACTAGGGTTTAAACTTGGGTTCTCAGACAGCTACTCTACCATTTGAACAATGCCTCCAGCCTTTTATATTCTGCATAGGGTCTTCAACCTGGATTATAATCTATTTATTCTTCATGGTTTATCTGGGATGACAAAAATGCCCTTAAGTTTCTCTGTTGAGTTAGGTCTTTTGAACTTTTTTGCTTAGGCTGAATTGGAGCCATTGTTCTGATCTCAGCCTCTTTTTTGTTTCTTTACTATATCCTAAAATCTGTTAAAAATCACCAATATTTATGTATATATTTTTCTTTGCTTCTAGTAATTACTTATAATGTAAAGAAATAAAAATCTGAAATAAACTGTTTTTATCTTATTTTCATGTAATTGATTTCATCCCCATTCATTTTAAGTATGTACAAGATTTTTTTTTTTTGGTCACTCATGGGGCTTGAACTCTGGGCCTGGGCACTATCCCTCAGCTCTTCAGCTCAAGGCTAGCATGCTACCTCTTGAGACACAGCACCACTTCCAGTTTTCTAGTGGTTTATTGAAGATACCAGGGCTGGCTTTGAACTGCGATCCTTAGATCTCAACCTCCTGAGTAGCGAGGATTACAGGCATTAGCCACCGGTGCCAGGCTTATGTACAGGATTTTTGAATTTTCTTTTAAATTAAATAATTTTCTTAACATATATTTGGAGGTGGGTTGATTTCTAATTAACTTTTTCTGGCATAAGCAAATGCCTTCTGATATAGTACTAGCTTTTCAGTTCAAGATGTTTCATTATATTCTTTAATAATGTTTGCGTTTTATTCATTTGGTATATTTTTTCAGGAATACCAGCTCTCTATATGTTGGTTCTTTTTCATTACCTCATCTCTACATTTATTATTTCTTTGCACCCCTTTCTCAAGTCTGTTAATCAGTTCTTACATTTTCTGAGATGTAAAGTTTAAAAAAATCACAATTTTCATGCTAATACTGCATTACTTTTTTTTTTGCTGGTCCTGAGGCTTGAACTCAGGGCCTAGGTGCTGTTCCTCAGATCCTTTTGCTCATGGTAAGCACTCTACTTGAGCCACAGTGCCACTTCCAGCTTTTTTGAGTAGTTTATTGGAGATAAAAATCTCGTTTAAATAGGGATACAGGTGGACCCATTGCAACAATGAGATGTACAAGTTATTATGTCTAAAACGAACTTTACAACTTTGGTGTGGGGAGGGGCTAAAGGTAGGGGTGGGGGGGGCGGGGAGAATTGGAGGGGGGCGGAGGGAGGATGGGAAGGGATGGGAAGGGGAAACAAAGGAGGAGGCTGCAATGCTTGATAAGAAATGTACTCATTATCTTGCCCATGTAATTGTAACCCCTCTGTACAGTATTTTCACAAAAAAAAAAAAAGACTCTCACAGAGTTTCCTGCCCAGTCTGGCTTCAAACTGTGCTCCTCACATCTCAGCCTCCTGAGTAGCTAAGATTACAGGTGTGAACTACTCGCACTCGGCTACTTTTCTTAATTTTATAGTTTCAAGAAAAATCTACAAATCTTTCATTTTGTTTGAACTTGTACTACCTGTTTCATGAAAACATAAAAGTTTTCTTTGAGACCCTAAGACAGGACCTGTCCAAATTACTTTTGTTTCTCATAGTAAATCTTTTTCAAAAGGCTAGTCTACATACAATTCTTTGAATGCTATGTTTGTGCCTTATCCTTTGTCGACTCTTCATTGAACTAAGTAACTGGATTGCTTTGAGGGTTCATCTGTGAAGGAAGACAGATCATTTTTGGCTACCCAAATTAAATATGGCATGGATTTCTCTAGTATTTCTTGACTGCTCATTTGGGAAGCATTAAAATGACTAGGCAGTGGAATTGAGGTACAGGTGCACATTACAAGTACAGTCATCAGAATCCTGAACGGTGTGGGAGAGGCAAGGCATGACTTGACAATTTTACTTATTTCAGTGATTCTTCCATTTGCAAGATTGTATCCAAACCCACCAAACAGGATAGAGATATTTTGATAAGAAAACAGAAAAATTGCATGGCCGAGAATACATGGAGGTCCACTGCACTTCACTGCACTTGGGTAATTTCTATGAGCCCTTTGCAAGCTAAACATAACTTTGAGGACTTACATCTTCTATTGATCATGTAAGGTGGGGAAAATATCAAATGAAGTACTAACAACAATTCGGTGTTTATAATATTGTTGCATTTTCTAAGTGAGGAAAGTGCAGTGTAGTGATTGAGTAACCAGTCCATATTTACATAGCTGGTAAATGCTATAATTCAGATGCAGTCACTCCGATTCTAAATGTAATTTCTATTATATCCTTCTACTTTCCCCCTCTTCATTTATTTTATTCTGAATACTCAATCTCCTTCTCTTTTCAATCCTTGCTTAAGACAGCACAGGTCCCCATGCCCCTCATTTCTCAGGCTAATCCTAGCTTCACCTTTTTCCTTACTCAGCCTTATTACTTGCTGCAACCCTACCTAAGGTGATCCGTCACAGACTTCTTTTACCACAGACTTAAGCCCTGTTTGAAGTCTATCTGGTAATGTGTATCACAGAAGTACCTATATCAGTCATAAGATAGCTTGACATTCTACTACCCTGCATTTTTTGTATTATGTATTAGACTGAGTTAGAATTATGCACCCCAAATTGCAGCTGGTGGCAGAGTGAGAATTATAATCAGGAGTTCCCTCAGATTTCTGATATGTTCGTTTTGAACAAACAGCTCATTAGTATGCCTTACATGTATTAAAAAATATATGTAGACTGGGTTGACAAAAAGTATTTTTAGTAGGTCCTATTAGATTTAAAAAATATAGTATATTAGTGAATTATAGTATATTAGTGAATTTTTGTTTTTTAATAGGATTTGTTTTTTAATAGAATTTTTGTTTTTTAGTGAATAATTATAGTATGTTAGTGAATTTTTGTTTTTTTTTTAATGGAAAGACCATAAAGTGTATTTATTTGGAAATTTGTGTTTCTAACTCCAGTGTGTAAAAGCTGAGTTTTTAAAGTAAAACAATGTCATTCCACCAGATGTCACTGTTTGCATATAACAATGAAGTTGCAATGACTTAAGAATACAATTTGCCCTCCCTCATTATATTTGATAAAAAAGAATTCTGACTGTATGTATGTTTTCCTATAGGCTCATTATTTTGTTAAGACTACATTCTGTGCTTTTAACAAAGCACATAATTTTTAAGCCTCCATGCAGAAGAAAATCTTTCATAGCTGAATTCTTTCAGACCTCTGTCCTGGCTTTTAAAGCAACATTCTCTACAAGTTAGAGTTGTTCAGACTATTAGTTGAGACCCCCATAAAGTGTATTGTGACATCAGTTCAATGCTTTTCTATAGACACTTAAGAAATGTGTAAAATGGAACAGTCCATTGCATGCCAAGTATCATTTTTGTTTGTGAGTTACTCAAAAATTTCCCTGTACACATTTTGTGACTTCCCTAAAAGCAATGGAGGGGTCCATCCTGTGAATCTCCTCTCAGGCCTCTGGGTATTCAGAAGCAAGGTACATGTTCTAGGGAGAAGACCAGGTAAGCTGTAGTGCAGAATCTCTCTGGAAGAGTCCTAGCAGGGTGGAGGAAACAGTCAGAGGGATAACAGGGTTGCCTAGGTAGTAGCTCACACTCAGATGCTAGAGGAAGTTGCCTTTTGAACTGCATGACAGCAACTTACAATAAGAAATACATTTTTGCTGGACTCCAGTGGTTCATCATGACTATAATCCTAGCTACTCAGGAGGCTGAGATCTAAGGATTATGCGATAAAAGCCAACCTGGGCAGGAAAGTTCTCAAGACTCTTATCTCCAATGAATCACTGAAGAGCTGGAAGTGGAGCTGTGGCTCAAGTGCTAGAGCACTAGCCTTGAGCAGAAAAGCTCAGGGACATTGGCTAGGCCCTGAGTTCAAGCCCCAATACCAGCAATAGAGAAAAAAAGGAATACATATTTCAAAGTCTCTGATCTCATGGGACACTGATGTTGACTCCAAAGAAGGGTTAGCTTTTGCTCCTAGAGGAGTTGGCTTGTTTCTTTCCATCAGCATCCTCACTATTATAACAATGATGATTACAACACCAACCGCTTACTGAGCATGTACTGTTTGGAAAAGTATTAAAAAGAAAATTTCCTTATCTAATTGTGTTGGTCTGCTTTCTATTGTGCTAACATAATTGTGTTGGTCTGCTTTCTGTTGCTCTAACATAATTGTGTTGGTCTGCTTTCTGTTGCTCATATATCTAAGACTGGGTAAAGAAAATAGGTTTATATTGTCTCACATTTCTGAAGGTGGGAAAAGCCTAACATTGGACTTCCTCATCTGGTCAGCAACATCTCAGGCTGCTTCACTTTAGTGGGAAAATGGATAGACAAGGAAGGGCCTATCAGAGACAGAAAAGGAAAGCAAACTTCCTCCCACCATAGCTAACATTCCTGCAGTCAAGACATGAATCTAGTCATGAGGAATCCAACCCTATGACCCGAATACCTTCAACTGGGCCACACCTTCCAGCACTGCCATTTTGGCTGGAGGACAAGACATACATTTTCCTGGTGGAAATCATGTTCAAACCATAACTAACATAGCATAGCAAGTAGTTAAAGGGGCTGGAATCCTTGCCCTTAATCTCATTCTAAGGCTTATTTTTTCCAATATATCAATAGTTTTTAGACTTCTCTGAAGATAAGTACCATCTTTTTTTTGTGTGTGTGTGCTGGTCCTGGGGCTTGAACTCATGGCTTGGGCACTGTCCCTGAGCTTCTTTTGCTCAAGGAATTGTACCACTGCACCAGTTCTGGCTTTTTTTTTTTTGTGGGCTGGCTTTAACCCATGATCCTCTGATCTCAGACTGGGTAGCTAGGATTACAGACATGAGTCACCAGTGCCTAGCTAGACAATCTTGGTGTCTGGTAAGTATAATAATTATCCAGTTGTATTCCAAATTTATGAAATTAGAATCCCCAAAGGAGGGGTCTGGGAAGGTATAGATTTGACAATCATCTTAGGATATTCTTACTACTGGGCTGTTTATGGACAACCTGAATTGTATCAGTTATTCTCACACTGAGTGTGTCAGAATTGACTGCAGTGCTAGTTAAAACAGAAGACTCGACCCACACCTCAAGTTTTGATTCTGTGGTGGATTTAAATGGTTTGGATTTCTAACATGTTCCTACGTAACACTGATGATGCTGGACTGGGGCTGGCTTTGCCTTTGGCAATGTGTTTTACTAAGCCCCAATTCAACAGTATTTGTTCAGTATCTACTGTATTCAAATCCTTAGGAGATGGAAAACCTCACTTTTCCTCCAAAGTCACATTGTATCTAATCTTCTGTGAAAAAGATATATAGAAGACCCGATTTTAGCACAGGTTCCATTAATTCCAGCAAGAGCTGCTTCAAGAAGGGAAAATGAATCTCAGAAGGCACCTTATCATTCTTACCTTCTGCTTAGGTTGGTGCTTTGCCTGAGTCGAAGAAGTGAAATTTGTATTGAGCGTTTGCAGTGAAATAAGAGCTGTTGCATTTCAGTGTAGCGAAACAAAAGTATCATAAGGCTTACTGCGTTAATATATGCAGACCCAAACATAAATTGCTTTTGGATTAATTCTCATGTTGTATTTTTGGCCTTTTCCCTCCCATGTGTGTGGATGTCAAATGACACCATGTTTGTTTCGGCAGAAGTATGCAAAGAGCACAAACTTTTGTTTCCTTTATCAGTAGTAGTAAAAACAAATGTATTGTTTGTAACATGTTGTAGAATGCTGCGTGGAATTTCTGTGATGGAGGAAAATGAAGAGGATATGGATGTTTCTCCAGCAGCACCAACAGAATCCCCTGAACCTGAACATAGACTTAGTTGGCATGCTCAAAAACCACACCTGAGGCTCCTGGGAGAAGAAGTAAGAATTTTCTTGAATATTAGCTTTCTCCACCTCATAGATTCTTAAAATTTGAGGTTTATGATCCTCTTGACATTCCAAAATATTGTTAAGAATTTCAATAATTATTTACACAAACTGTATCTTTTGACATTTACGATGTTAGAATAAATGCTAAAATATTTATTAAAAATAATAGTAACAAAATTATGAGTTAGCATAAACAATGAAATTTATGAAAATAATAATTCTTTGACATTACTATGGTTTGAACTCAGGGCCTAAGATTGCTAGGCAAGTGCTCTACCTCTTGAGTTTTCTGCTTTTAGTTATTCCTTTGGCAAGGAGCATGCATTTCTTTTGCAGGCTGGTATTGATTGAGTTCCTACTTAGCCTTCTCTGTAGCTCAGGATGGCAAGTACAAAGCACGGTGCCTAGCCTTTCCCTGGATGAGATGTGAATTTCTTTCCTCTCGCTGTGATTCTTCTGACCTCTGCCTTCCAAATACTTAGCATTATAAGCATGAGCCCCTGTGCCTGATAACTATGTTTTTAAATAAAAAATTAGAAAATCAGGATTGTTTGCTTAATTATTCTTCTATGGAGCACTTTACTTTTTGTCATAGAAGACAGCTACATTTTCAATACTGCTGCTGTGTTTAATTTTGTGGTTGTTTTAGTTGAAATATATGAGAAAATTATAGGTACTTGGAAAAGAACAATTTTCCATAGCCTTTGCTTATATAATTGCGGGCATTTTAATTTAATAACACACTGAAATTTAAATGAGTGCATATTTCTTGAGAGTTAGTTGGGATACTGCCACTGCTGGCCAAACTAGGCTATGATCATTGTCCTTATTCAGTTTGTTGCCTAGTACAACAAAAACTCCTAGACATTACATAGAATGACTCTAAAAGTAGAGCCAAAGATGCACAGTAGTTATGAACTTAAAGGAGTTAAAGAATAACATGTAAGTGAGTAAAGTTTCTGAGTTTTTCTTTTTGCTTCATATATGTTAGACTTAAGTTGAAAAGAAAAACGAAGAATAACCTGGAAATACCAATAGAGAAAGAAAAAAAAATGCCTCAATGAAAACCTGTAATCAGAAGCCAAAAAAGCAGGCTAATATATTAGAATAAAACTTTTAGAAAAGGTAATTACTCTTCTGCAAGCAAATATGACAGAAAAAGCTACTCTCAGTTCTCACATTTGCCAATAAAAGCCTTGTGTCTATCCTTTCCCAAAGTGTTCCAACGTGTACTAACACCTTTGGACAAACTGACTGAGTATGGATCTATGCTGTGGTTTGGACATAAAATGTCCCCTCAAAACTCATGCATTAAAGGCTTGGTGTACGATGTTCAAAGGTAGGGCTTTTGAAATGACTGGATCATGAGGGCTCTTATTTAATAAATGGATCAATACTTGGCTAGATTTATAATCAGATAAATGATTGGGAGGTGGTGAAAGCTATGGAAGGAGACTTGATTGGAAGAAGACAGTCACTGTCAGTGGTGCCTTTGAGGATGGGTCTTATTCTCAGCCTCTTGTTCTTTGTGTCTCCTTGCTTCCGGCTGCCATGTGGTGAGCAGCTCTGGCCTGCTTCATGGTCACTACCATGCTGTTTTAGCTTTGTCGTAGGCCTATAACAATGGATCTAGCTGACTAGGGACTAAAACCTCTGACACAATGAGGCAAAATACATCTGTGTTCCCTGAAATTGCTTTCCTCAGATATTTTGTCTCATAATTAAGACGTCACTAATACAAATCAGGGCTTGCATTCTGTTAGAGTTGTGATGAAGCTTCCTTTTTATCCTTGACAGTGAAACCACATGGAATTCCATTCCCATCCTCAGTAGGGATCCACTCTTCCCAGTCCCCACTGTGGTGTGATCACAAGAGGTCTGTCTCATAGGGTGTCAACAAAAAATAGTTTAAAGAAGGTGGAGAGTCTTATGACATAAGACCCCAAATGTCCAGATTTTATTTCAAAACCACTGATCACACTAATAACGAGGAAAATCTCACCTTGAATATCAAGAGCCAGTTCATGCATGGATTGATAACAGATGATAGAATTTTCTGATGAGAAACACTGTGATAATGGATGTTAGATGAATTTTCTGATGAAAAATTTGAAGCTGCCATCACACACTTTGCTTCAGTAAGCAATTACGAACACTTTCACAAAAAGTTCACAAAAAGTATGTTCAGAAAGAATACAATTGTGAAAAAGTTTGTTGCAACTAAAATCAGAAATCATATCAATGCCATTTTTGTGTGTCTTATTACATTAAAATATTGATTTGTCTTAGACACTGAATGAGTCTGTTTCTACTGTGTGGTTGTACCTGGAAAATATTGTTCATCAACTTTTATGGCTTTTGAAATGTTGGTACACTTTACAGTGAATACAATATCAAAATAACTTATAATTAGTGTTGCAGAAGTCTTCTTAATGGAAATCAGGAAAGGTTATAGTGAAAGCCATATATTTTCAAAATTTGGATTTTTTTCTTTTTGGTTCAAAACCCTCAATTTTTAACTTAAAAAAATTTAGCTACTCTGGAGACTGAAATCTGAGGATTATGGGTTGAAGCCAGCCTGGGCAGAAAAGTTTGTGTGATTCTTACCTCAAATTAAGTACCAAGAACGTGTAAGTGTGACTCAAGTGGCAGAGCTCTAGTCTTGAGCACAAAAGCTCAGAACCAGTACCCAGGTCCTGAGCTCAAGTCCCAGGACCAGCATGTGTGTGTGTGCACACATGCACACACACATATGAACCCCCCAACAAATGGAAAGAAATTAAAATTTAAAAAATGTAATATTTTTTTTGCTGGTACTAGGTTTTAACTCAGGGCCTCATGCTTGCTTGACTGGTGCTCTTATCACTTGAGCCATGCTTTGGTTTAGCTTTTTGCAATTAATTGAAGATGAAATCTGGTGGACTTTTCTGCTCTGGCTAATTTCCAATCAAGATTCCCCAGACCTCAGCCTTTTGAGTAGGTAGGATTACAGATAAAAACTGTTGGGATCCAGCAACAGCCCCACATTTTGATTGGCATAACTAGTCTGAATTGTTTGATTTAAACTGACAGGCTTCTATTTTTCCTTTTTAGGAAAGTACTTGCTATATAACCTGATTCTTATTTGACTTATTTGTTATTTATTTTTCATACTTATTCATTCATTCATTCATTCCTATATCTGGGTTTGAATCCTCAAGGTTTTGCTGTTTTCTTAGTCAAGGCTGGTAGTCTACCACTTGGGTTACTCCTCTAGCCCAACCTAATCTCATTCTCAGTCATTATAGTTTATTAATCAAAACAGTATGTTCAGTTTACAACTCACGTTTTTCCTCCGGCTTCACTCTCCTTCAGTGGTAGCCGCGGACACATCTGTGTGCTCAGCTCATTCATTACATTGACTAGAAAAAAGATGTGAGAATTCATAAAATTTATGATTTTTTTTCTTGCTGCTCAGAGGGCTTTTAAAAGGAATTTTGCCTGGATTCAGGCAAAAGGTACTGCATATATATATATATATATATATATATATATATATATATATATTTTTTTTTTTTTTTGGTACCATCAGCGTAAATGTCAACACAGTGAAAAAGGCAAATAACCTTTTCCAGGGTCTCAGACTACATTTTCAAAGCTGGTGTTCTGCCTTATGTTTCATTGATGTGAGACTGACCTTACGACTGACATTAATGTGCATGTATGTCTTTTTCCCTCCATGAACACAGCGCTCTGACCTTAGGTCTATCAGTATGAGCATGAGTGATTGTCCTGTATGGTAATATGCATATTGTAACCTGAGGGTCTCTGCAGGTGCAGGTAAACACTAAATTAAACAAGTATGCTTCATAGTTAGTAATTCAGTTTGCTATGTACCCTTGGCCTGCATGTGAAATTCTAGTAACCACCAGCACTGCTGTTTCTATTCATTTTCCTAGAACTCTTCTTAGAACATTTTGGGTTTGGCAGAGTAAACTGATTCACCAAGATTGGTTTCTTTACTAATATAATTGAATACATTCTCTCCTGCGTACTATTTTTTAGCCTCTCCTTTTGAGGTTTGTGTCTTACATCTAGAGCAGTAATTTTATTCTGCCTGCTTAAGCTGCTATAAATCTGTTTATGGCACTGGGGGAATTACTGCATCATATATGATATGTCATTATGTACCTGAAATCTCAATTCCTAAGTGCTCTCTGGAAGACTTGTCATCTGATTTGGGAAGAGTTTGCTCATATTATCACTGGCTCTGAGTGTTCATACCATAGTATTCAAGATACATTGTGAATTTTTATTTGCTGGGTTTGGGTCTTCATCTATTATCCAGGAACTTTATATCATATCCACTCTGTAGAAGATGGTACTGTCTGGGGTTCATAGTGGATGCTAAAGTTGTGCTTGAAGGTTGAAAATTACTTGAGCTCAGGTTTCCTCTACCAGAAGAGTTTTTTAAGGAGAAGATGTATAGCCCAATTAAATATTATTAAAGTCAATGAAAAGTTTAAAGGAGTGAATATGATTAAAGTACTTTATGTTCATGTATGGAATGTTGAAACCTGTTAAAATTGCTTTGTATTACACTATAGCTACTCACTACTTGGGAGCAGGAGATTGGAAGATCCTGGTTTAAAGCCAGCTCAGGAAGTTCATGAGACACCTTCTCATCTAGTGGTTAGATGCAGTAGAGCGCACACTTCTTATCTTAGCCGTAGAGAAAGCACAATGGTTGGGAAATATGACAATGCACATGTCATTTCTAGTGAAATTGGGAGGCACAGGAGGAGGATTGAAGCCCAGAACATCTAGAGATAAATTGAGAGCCTACTTTGAAAATTACCAGGGCCAAATGGGGCTGGAGTTGTGGTTCAAGTTGCAGAGCACCTGCTTAGCAAGCAAGAAACCCTGAACTCAACACCCAGAACTGCCAAAAACAAAACAAAGACAATTGTGTTGCCAGGTGCCAGAGGCTCATGTTGGTAATAATAGATACT